ATGGCTGCAATAAATTCACCATAGTCTATGGTACCACTGTTGTCAACATCTGCCTGAATTTTTCAAAATGCCAGAGAGATAATCAGGTAAGGACGATACTTTATTACATCAACTATCAATTTAATCAGTTCAAGAATGGCACTTGCATGGGCTTCCATATGCACCTATTCTACTGGGATAAATCTAAGGTTTCTACCGGGGACCAACACAACCTCCAGTGAGTGAATCAGAAGTTGTATGAAAAATTTCTCAAGAAGGATCATATCTTGCTTAAATGAAAGTAATGAACCTTTAGTTTTGCAGATAAGCGAAATGTTGAATGGTAACGAAGGAAAAAATATTTATGCTAAAACCAAATGAGACGAAAGGAAGGACAATGTACTGTTTTATTTTGTATTCAGTTTTGTTTATTTTCTCCTCTCTTCTTCTTGCAGATCTTAGAGGATGTTTATCTTCTTCACTTGTACTTTTTCTCTTATCTCTTTCAGGATACTTCTTTTTTCATCAGAAAAGAAAAACAAAAAAACAAAAGGAAAAGCAATGAAATGAAAGTTTAGAAGATGAGTTTGCTCATTGGTTATGATTATTTCTTTTTTCAAAACCAATAAAGACTATGATTAGCAAAAAAAGAAAAAGATAAATATTGGGGTTGTACTAGAGAAATTAGTAGCCACTAATTGAATCTTGCCAGAAATTAAGGGATTTTCCTTCCTCCCTCTGCCTCTCTTGTCCTCTGAATGGTATCAGGAGTAGGTGATCTTCAAATAAAGTTCACAATTTAAAACTCTCTCTCTAGTAATTAATTGGATTTTGAAAATTTTATAACATTTATTATATGATTTATATTTATTGATTTCTGCATTCTTAAGAACACTTTTGCATGTCTTGTCAAACACTAAATCATTTATCACTTAGTAGACCCGCAAAAGTCCCAAAGTGTGTTTCCAATATAAACTCACCGCTTGCATTAGCCTAGTAATTTCGGAATCCTTGAGATTAGCACCTACTCTTTCCAAACCATTCTTCAGTTCCTCAAGAGTGATCTGTCCACTATTATCAGTGTCTATCATCTTGAACATTTCTTTCATTCCTGCAATTTCATCCTCAGACAGGCTCTCAGCAATAACCTGACAAATGAAAATAAATTTGAGAGAATAAGGAACATAATACATATTTCCATTAAGAATTGAAATTATAATGTAGATCAACCATAACATAGAAGCTTTTTCTGAAGATTCGAATTAGTAAGAAAGCTTCGAATTAGTAACTAATTTGACGAATCTTGTTACTTTTTATTTTTATAGTATTCAATAACAGTAAAATCAATTCAGTCAGATGCTCCAAGAATTAAAAAAGTAAAAAGAAATGAAAGAAAACCTTGAGCAGAGCCATCTAATGTCCATAACGCAGAGTTCATGCAAGATGCACACTATCACACATTGAGATGAAAAAAGCATTTCAAATGAAACATATCCAAAATTGGCTTGACCAGCAAGTAATTGCCTGAAAATTTTTGCAGTTCAAAAATTCGAAATACTCACTCTGATGGCTATTTTCTTGAGTTTATTCATTGCTGAAAACTGCTTCAAACGGCTCAGGACAGCAGAATCAAGAGGTTTATCTGGAGCAACGCCATCTACTTGAACCCAAGGATGACCTGAAGAAGGAAAAAACCAGAGAACTTAGCCTCAAAAAGAAATTCAGGGAAATAAACCTGTGCGAGTGGTGAATGATTTATGTTTTTTCTTTGCTTCCTGTTTTTTCCCATTTCATCTTCTAGTTAATTTTTACACAAAGAGATTTAGTAATTTTTTAAAAGAAAAAGAATGTAGTCTTCAAGAAGAAAGAAAAACAACTATTATTTAAAAAATGGTCAAATTAATTACAAAACATGCCTATGGCAACAGAAAATAAGATCATAACCTGTCCAAGTTAGTTTTGGAAAGAATACCCAACATACCCCAGAATAACTGCAATTTTAGTCAACAATATTCGGCTTGGAGGCATCTCTATCAAAATTAGTACCATTTTATGTTCCAATATTTTTTTAGAAAAAAGCTGAGCATACATACAGAGGACTTCATGAGCCGTCATCCGTTTTTTTGGATCCCTGACAAGCATTCTTCGGACCAAATCTTTTGCACTTTCTGATATACTTGGCCATGGTTCGGATAAGAAGTCGAGTTCGCCTTTCAAGACCTGTTCAAATATCCCTTGTTCTGTTTCTGATCCAAACCATAAAACACAGAACCAAAATATTAGGTAAAATTAATACATATATAGCCTCATCAAATAAAATGATGATATATATTAGCAATTATTTATAATATCTTTACCATCCCAGAAGGGAGGGACCCCGCTGAGCAGAATATAGATGATCACCCCGGCACTCCAAACATCACATTCTGGACCATAATGCTTCCTCAACACTTCTGGGGCCACATAATATGGACTCCCAACAACATCAGTGAATGTTTCACCTGAAACAGTGGGATATTATTAAAATCAGATGTTGAAATCACTTGTGTAATATAGAGAGGGGAGAAAACATCATGTCGCCTAATATGAGGTAAGCATATGCAACACATAACTTTAGGTCAGGGAAAAAGTGTCCCTCAGAAAACAGAAAATGATTTATTAAACATTTGGCAAGTAATGGACAACTATGTAACGGAATCTACCACGAAGAAAAGATCTGTTGAAGAATTATAGAATTTACGAAGAATTGAGTTTCTATTTTATAATCCATAGAGCTTACATATTTGATAGTGTCCTTAAACTAATCCTGAAAAATGATCATCACCAAAAAAACCAGAATCTATGCTATAGTGATTAGCACAATTCTTAATTAAATAGGAAAAAAAATCATAACTAATATAGAATACATAGCAACTAATTAGGAAGATAATGAGAACAATATCAAATTTCTGACTGGTTTAGGAACATAAATCTAAGATAAATATCAATACTATAAATGATAATAGTAATAGCATTTCTGTGATTCTTTTCTACAACATTCTCCCCCACTTAAAGAAACTTTATCCTCGAGTTTTCAAGTGTTGAAGAATGAAGAGACTCAATTGACAGATGTCTGAAAATTTTTGTTGGAAATCTCTTGATTTCTTGCTCTTGTGAGGAAAAAAATGTGCTAACAAAGACACCATTCAAGGTCAATAAAACCAAGAAGGTAGGGCAATCTTGGGGGAGCATCTCCCTTGTGAGGAGGATTTAGGAAACACTATAGCTGTTTTCATGCGCTCTTTTTTTTATGTCAAGTTTTTTATACACAAAGATTAGCCCCTTTGAGCCATGTGAAAGGAAATTTCTTTTATAAAAATCATTGCTCTCACTTATTTTCCTTATTTTTTAAATCAATCAAAATATTTGGAGTTTATGAGAATATTGTAATATCCTCCATTAAAAAGCGAAGAGTTTTGGCTAAGTGGCGACTAAATGCCCTAGTCAATGTTATTATAGTTTACACAGCTTTACTAAAATGTATAAAAACAATAGTTTTATAAGTCTGTGGTGCAGCTTCCGAGGATATCTTTCTATCTCCCCCAATCTCCAGGTATATTCTTTTTATCTCCCCTCAATTGCGAACTTAATGCTCTCGCTCTCTCCTTTGCTTGAGTTAGTGTATCCGCTCTCGTTGCTCCCAAATAAATTTTAAGGTCGAAGAGACCAGAATCTTTTTATTATCTAGTCTTGACTTTTCATGCTCTCCTTGGATGGTTGCAATCATTTCATTATTGTTGATTCCCACAATTAGCGATTATATCAGGGAAAATGCACAATTCTACGGAGGTACCATGAACAATATAATTGATGTTACCTAAATATCTGATAAGTGGAATCAAGCCTGAATTGCTGCCAGAATGTGATTTATTTTCTAGAGTTCTACGGTAGGATGCATGAACATAGTTGTGTTTTCAAATAATATCGGAATATTTTGTAGATTCTTGTCTTTAAGTCTTTAAAAATAGATCCTAATAAATCATTTCGTTCTGTAACTGCCTTGTTTGAATTCCCCCTTTCTTTTTGGGTAAAAATCCATATGGCAGTTGATGCATTAACTATAAACAAAGGCCTGTTGGCCGAGTGGTACCTGTACCTTTTATGATGTTTTGAAATGCTAAGTTTGAGCTTTACTACAACCCTTCAAGGGTTATCAGGAAAAAAAGCTATATTCTAATATAGCGCATTTCTCTAAGATCAAGAATGGATCATTATCCCCAGTGTTCTCCCTTTCAATCTACTCTGGCAGCAATTTAGATATTTAATATACCCCACAATATCAAGCTCACTATTGTGGGAGTAAAATTTGATGGTAGTTTGGTTAAATAACCCAATAAAAAATAGAAAGCAAAAGGATAAGAGCTAATTGGTGTTAGACATTCTGCTAGTTTCCTTTTAGAAAGAAAAAGGAAATCAACAATAATGAACTAAGTGACTTTGACCATCAGGCCTTTCCAATATATTCCATCTTTTCATTTTATACAATTAAATCTCCTCTTGGGCTTCTGTAGGTGTCTTGTCTAACCATAATTTTTTTCACTAAGCAATATGAAACTGCAAAGTTCATTTTTCTGTCTTTCGTTCAACTAGCTATTTTTCACATTAAAGATGCAATAGATAAATACACTATAAAACCAACAGATAAAACTCAATGCATGTTTTTGGGCAAGCAATTTGTGTGTCAATCCACAGCCCTTCAAGAGTTTCAGTAAGATGACCATATGTTCAGTAAATGCAACGGCTTTAAGATTAAGGCTATCATCAAGAACAAGAGCAATCCCTTAGGATGGGTACCTGGTCTAAAGAATACAGAGAGCCCAAAATCTATGGTTTTGAGGGGGGACTCCTCTTCTTGATTGATGAAAAGAAAATTCTCAGGCTTTAGGTCCCGGTGCATGACACCCAGAGAATGGCAAGCCTCCACAACACCAACTATTAATCTGGCAAGCTCAGCAGCCTTCCTCTCTGTATAATGCCCCCTTTGGATAATCCTATCAAACAGCTCCCCGCCGGCACAGAGCTCCATGACAACATGAACAGAAACAGCATCCTCATAAGCACCCACAATTTGAATCACGTTCGGATGACCCGCCAAGTGGTGCATTATCTGAATCTCCCTCCTCACATCCTCCACATCCTCCTGAGTCGTCAGCTTCCTCTTCGCAATCGATTTGCAAGCGAACTCCGTCTGCGTCCCTTTCTCCAGGCAGAGAAACGTCGTCCCGAATTGCCCTTGCCCGAGCTTCCTTCCAAGAGTGTAAATCTCCTTCAAGTTCTCAGTCTTCCTCCCCAATACCGATTCTGTTTGCAGCCCCGCACTCGACATCCTCTTCATGTGACTCGGTTTCTTAGGCTTTCCACCGTCTGTTCCCTTCTGCCCCTCCTCCGGCCTACTAGGTTTCTCTTCCTCGCTTGGTTTCGGCAACTCTGTCCCGATTTTCACCGGCTCGGGAGGGGTCCTCTGTACTGGCATTGCAGAAACGTCGCCTTTAGACCGATCAGACTGTTTGGATTCCTCCGTCTTCGTGCTCTTTCCGCTGTTTTCGTCCTTCGACGGAGGCAGCCGGTCCTCCGGCGGACGGGTTCGCCACACGGCGGCACTAACAGATTGTAAGAATCCATTAGCATTCAGATTTGGCCCAACACATGAATTCCCCATCCAAAGATCGCTCACGTCCTTATTATTAGCAGCCCTCTTTCTCTTGAATCCCTAACATCCAAACTGATCCTTTTGAATCCCATTTACCGTTAAAGCATTTTACATGAAGCCAATCGAATTGATTGTTTTAGGTTTTCAGCTCTGTAATCAAATCACATTTGAAAATAATCCTACGTCTTGCTCTCTTGCTCCAAAATGCCATGAATTTAAAAAACCTAATCTCGCTGCCCTAATTACCAAATCTTCTTCAACCCGCTCGTTGATCAATCATACAAAGGTTTACAAAACTCCTACCTGATTATCTTCCGATAATTAGATGCATTTTCTTTCGCATGAACTTTTGTTTTCCTTTTTGTTAAAAGAATATCATTAAAAACTATTTATTTTAACATACTTGTTTTTACGACCATATATTTTTTTTTTTTTTTGCTTTAAAAAATATCGTTTTTATTATTTAATTATATTATTTACTACCAAATATATTATTTTTAATACATAATTGATTTGTTGGATATATACATTTTTTTTTTGTAAAGACCCTTAACTTATTTGAAAATAAAATTATAAATTAAATGCGAAAATAAAATAATAGAGTTAAAATTTACATTTTTTACACAAACTTTAGAATGTTCAATAGGGTTATGAGAATGTTAATTCTAAAATAACAAATAAAAATCAAATAGATAAAAGAAAAACAAATAACTAAGCAATCCTATAACGACTTTCACTAGTTTTTAAATGGAATTCGGGTGGTAAACTATTCATAACCCTCTTATTAATCGGGATCTGCATTTTGGTCCTTTTAATCTGAAATAATTAATTAATGAGTGAGCTACTATAACCCAATAAGAATATCATACTAATTACATATACAGAAAGTTAAAAATTGGTAAAAATAAGAAAAACGACTAATAGAACCTTTAATTTAATGTAAATTCATTTATTATAAAAAAAGTAATTTATTCAATATTTGTGTAACAAGTCTTTTCTAATAATAACTTATAAAAATTCATATTCATGCACTATTATTTATCATATAGAATATAACAAGAAACGATCATTTTACATTTCACCCGTTTACTGGTATCCTTGAGGGTCTATAGGGATGTCCTCATACTCATGAACCTAATATCCAATTAAATAGTTAACTGGTCGTCCTCATACCCTGTCCGGTATGGGCGTCAAATATGCCACCACCTCGATATCCCATCTGGTATGAGAGTGAATCATATCTCCCAAACCTTATTAGTAAGGGACTTCACAGCCCCATCCTACTGAGTTAACGTTTATAGTGGGGTTCCCTATATACCAGGTCTGTCCGCCATTTCCTAGGTACGTAGTAAGTCTTTCACATACAAATTTTCATCAGCATAACAATCAACAATACAATAATCATATCTCATTTTTTACTCACCGTTTACTTAAATAATAATATAGTTTAACACAACCAAATAACTAATTATTGGAATACCGGCACGCAATGCAGGGAAAACAAATAACAAAATAACCCAAAAGATCTTTAAAACTATCAATTGAGTTACGTAAAATATAATAGTAAATAAATATAGGTAATACAGGAAAATAAACAGAAAATTGAAATGACTATGAACTAATCGGTTCCGTCTCCACTAATGACCTGTAATTATTTGTAAGATTATCTAATTTTTCATAAAAATACACAATTATTAATTATTAAGCCTCAAT